AAACAAGGATTTATCTGACTTCCTCATGAAAAACTTATTCTGTCTGAATACGACTATAGATATCGTGTAACAAACTTCACAAAGATTTATTATTCAGATATTTTATAGGTAGGAAGTTATTCATACTTGTTTAACATTTTGTGATTTTGTTATAAATGATAAGCCTTTCTCATTTCAGTAGGCTTCATGAATTTGGTACCCCATGATTCATTTTCAAAACATTTAAAGAGGTTTTTAGAGGCCCATTGAAATCCTTAAATAAAGAACAGTAGTCACAAATAGCACCTTAATGGAAAGTACTGGAACAATCAGTCTGACGAGGAAAGGTAAGGTGCAGATGGCACATTAGATACATGTGTATGTCAGAAGCACAGTCGTGACTCATACAGATTTCCCTTGAGCTTATTTTAACATTGGTGTTACTCTCAGCGGTCCCAGTGGGTTTTGTCCCTCTAGTTGCTCTCAAGAGACCTTGATTGCACAGAGATGTCAAATATCTGCTACTTGAATTATTTAAGGGTCTTCTAAGTGGTCGTACTGTCAGGGTATAAATATGTTAAAAATCTATATCTCCAGTTCATATAAACTTTATGTGTGTGTTTGCATGTGCATATTATACAGGTACACTGCTGGACACGAGTGGTCTGTATGATGAGGAAGTCAGCTCACCAGAGAGCCTACAAAAGTAAACTGAACACAAATGCAAATATATGTATATAGATTATGCATTCGCGACAGACACACTCAGTCATTCTGCATTTCTCTGACAGAGTTATGGAGAATGAAGAGGGGAGAAAAGAGTACCTGGTGTTCCCTGCTAGCAAGAACCATTGTCCCAGCCAGAAGGGGCGCAAAATCCCCCTGAAAGGCAATGGCAGGAGAATCGATTACATCCTTTATAAAGAGGAAGGCCTGCAGCAAGACTGGAAAGTGGTGAGTTCTGATTAATAAACCTACTTCCCATATCGAGTGCATTATGCAAATAATGACTAAACACTGTGACTAAAATTCACAGTGAATGCAGGAACATGGGACTGCACATGGGAGGTCAATAAACAAAGGGCCTCCTGTTGAGTAGCATGTTCATGCCTGTTTGGAATAAAATATTATCATACTGCTTGTGCTATATATAATTTGTAACAGAACACACTGCACTGGGTATCATATCCCACAATGCAGTGCAGGTTTGTTTGGTTTTTCATTTCTAGTGTGACAAAAAAATAATAACAGCCATGATTTTAAACAAGACTTTCATTACTTATTATTTGATGGGACACCCAAGAGTTCAGATATTTTTACAGTAAATTAACTTTACTTTTTTATCTTTAGAAAAAATGTCAACTGGATGCCACTAAATGTGTCATATAAATAGGTCATATGACAACAGTGTAGCATGCTACTTTTGAAACATTTAGGTTATATTCAAAATAAAATATTAGATAATTCATACTGCCCAGTGCTGCTACTGTTAAATAAAACAGATGTGTGTGTGTGCGCGTGTGTGTGTATACTAATAAAAATGACAAAAGCACATAACAAAATTACTGCAAAATAGAAGGTCATGTAGAATTTTAATAAATGCTAAAACAGTATATAAATAATACTAAATTAACACTACTGCTACCTACCAATTTAAAAAATATATATATTTTCAAAAAATAAATTTTAAAAAGTGAAACAATATTCCAGAATACATTTTTCTAGCTTTTTTTTTTGCGACATGGCATCCAGTTGTCTTGGAAATTATTATTATTATTATTATTATTATATTTTTTTATTACAAATATCGCAATTCTGACTTTATAACTCACAAAAGAAAAAAAGTCAGAATTGTGAGTTGTAAAATCACAATTGCAAGAAAAAAAGTCAGAATTGCGAAATAAAAAGTCGCAATTACTTTTTTTTATTTTCTATTCAGTGGCGGAAACGGGCTTCCATGGAGAGCAGATAATTTGTCAAGAAAAAGGTCAAATGTAATTTAAAACTGCATTTTAATATATTAAATAATTATTAAAATGTATTATATATTAGGGTGAATATTAGGGTGTAGCTGTATTACCTCCAGGTTTGTTTATCACACTGGAAATGGAAGGTAAAATTGAGCGCTTTGCATTATAGGATACAGTATTTCACACAGTATGCTTTGTGTACTGTACATCTTAGTGAACATACTCATATACTGAGGTACAGATGCATATTGCCTATTGTGCTCAGTATATAGTGTATATATATATGTACTGTGTGTGTGTGTGTATATATATATATATATATATATATATATATATGCATTTTATACTGGTTTAATCTACACCTTATGACCAATGAATCACCATGACAAGCCTTCCTTCATGATTACTGTCTAAAGATTTATAAAAATCAATTTATAAATACTGCATTTACAAAGAAAAATGTGAAACTGCAAAAATGTTTAAGAGCAGAGAATAACTAAAAACAAAATGTATGATTACTGTTGCTTTATGTACATTATATTATGTATTAG